TTTTGTAAATACTGAGATTGGGCTAGTGGAAATTTCAAGGAAGTTTGCTATATTAAGGGAAGGTAAAATCTTTCAAATGTAGTCAATCAAAAATGACTGCACAAATATGACTCCCCAGAAAGGCATTTATCCTAATTAATAAGATAAACCAATAGTTAGTCACCTACTTAAATGACAGCTGCAAATCAAAATGGGACTTGCCAATTCTCTCATGGGGTCAGCTATGACCACCCATGAAAACTTCACTCTTTCATCTCCTTTACAAGTGGAAGGACTGACAGATGGCCGCAGCTATTGCAGCCAACCATAGCATCCTCCATGCTCGCTGCCAGGACTGGCTGCCATCCGCTGCCCAACACGATCGGGCAGTAAGTAGGTCTATAAACCTATTAAAACAGCATAAATGTTATAACTTGTAATCTATTAAAATCAAAATAAACAGGAAAGGAGGTCTGAGAGCCAGTTTCTTCAGAGCAAAATGTAATGCTAATTATGAGGTTTTCAAATAGTGCAGCTTTTTTTGGGGGGTGGGCAAGACCTAGGGTTGAGCCATTAAAAAGCTAGTTGGTAGTATTAAACTCTTGCTTTAGGATTTATAAGAGGGCCAAAAATTCACTCCAGGCTGAAATTTACTATCCCAGGCCTGGAATCGTTTAAAAAAAAAAGTTGTCATAAATATGGAAGAAAAACCAAACAAACACAAAACAGTGGTTTCAGATGCTTTTTGGCACTCCTTCAATGCCAAAGTGGCTTTATTTTTTTTTTTTTTTTTTTAAGTCTGAGACTCGTTACTATGAATTACTTTTGTAACTAAAATTGGGACCAGGTTATTTGAATAATGAATTACCAATAAGTTACTATCACTGAATCTTTTTTAAAGCTTTTCAGTATGAGGAGATATCATAGTTTTCACAAAGGAATGTCAATGCTCTGACTTACACTCAAAAGCCAGGAAGTTAGGGGTGGAAATTTAATCTGTGAGCCACACAGATGTACGAAAACATTTAAAAAATTAACAGCGTATGTTAAAGATGCAATGTCAGCCCAATTTTTATCCATAACTAGACTTCATTAGTTTTGTGGGTTTAAAATTGACATTTAAAAATAAAGGCAACATAAGTTTTTGTGACCTAATTGAGCGCTCCTTAAATAAAGAGATATTTTAATGTTTGCAGACTGTTAACATCTTTCCAAAATAAGCTATGTGCTGGTGCTACTTAGCTATATTTCCCTATCACCCTAAGGAGTCTGTATTGCTGATGGAAGCCATTTCTTTTGCTAAATCCCACCTGCGAACTCTAACAGGAGCATTTAAGCCTACTAAACAAAGTCTCCCAGGAGACACTATTGTTAAAACAAAAACTGGAACAAATTTTTAAAGTGAACTTTCTGCAGTCATTAGAGGTTGCAGGTCTTAAGAAGAAGAGAAAACTTGTTATGGGAGAGGGAACAAAAAGCCAAATGTAAGCAGACAGCACATGCCAGTCACCCCTGAGGGAACAGAGGGAAGGTACAGAAAATTAACTGCTGCATTTCTACTTCCCACCAAAACCACAAACGGGCCGTTTCAGGGGACTAACACATACAGAGTCTGCAGATAAATACATGTCTACCTCATTACCTGAGAAGAGCCTTAAAGAGCACACTTCTTTGCTGAATATTTCTGCTTCTACATGAATAATCTCATTTATGCAGAAGAAGGTGCTATACACACGCATGCAACATTTGCAGCATGTATGCGTGTCAGCTTGGAAGCTGCTCAGCTCCGTCTGCAAATTTGGCCTGTAGTCTTTTGGCATGGATTTTTACTGCAAAACTTAACAAACATTCTCTGCGGCCAAACCACCTTGAACTGTTTCTTACCAAATTTCACAAGCTAAGTGGGTTCGAGTCTGGTCAATACATGGATGAGAGATCATTATATGAAATTACGCTTTGCTGAAAAATGACAACAGTAGCTTAACAGCATCAGGAAATGGCGGGACTTAGCTGTAAGGATGTGCACAGGGGCGACTGGGATTCAGGCAGCTGCTGGCTTCACCCAAGATAAGACTACCACACCTAGCAAAGCCAAGACAAACAGCATACCTAAAGGGAGGACACTACATGGAAAATGGGAACCAAAAGATTAGTGAGGTTCCTGCTTTCTACCTTGAACAAGAATGCCAAACAGCCATATAGGACAGACACTCTCTGCTGAGGGACATGCATATTTGTATGCCATCTCACCAGCCTGTAAGGCGTGCTTTCTCTCTGCCATCTAAAGTGGCACCATCTTGGAGTTACACCTTGTGCAGTAACAGTAATGCCAGGCACACTGCTGAAGTTTAGTACCCTAGCAAAGTATCGAACAGTTGAGATGGGAGATAATAAAAGCGAAACTGCCATTCTGAATGTTTCATTAATAAATTGTGTCAAAGCAATCCCATTTTATTTTTGGCAAAGTATAGGTCTAAAGGAGGATGAGGATGACGATTATATTTGGACTATAACAAATACTTAACATCAACCCAGATGACGCCCTTTCAGGCAACCTAAGGAAAAACAGCCTCTTTATTTTCTGAAGTTACCACAACATTCCTGTATTCAAAGACGAGTTAACAAGAGTTTGCTCGCAGTACAAATCAAACAGGATCGCACAGAAGGAATACAGCAATATTCTTCATTCTCACTGGATGCAGTGGAGGGTATGCCTGCAGGGCTTGAAAGTTGTGTAGGCACTGCGAGGCTGAAATGCATGACGATTTACATGCTCTAAATTGTTTCCCTGAAACAGATCTTGCCTAACTATCCTTAGTTTTATCACCTTGCCAGTCAACTGCCATACATACTTGCACTTGAGGGAAAAAGATTCGCATCTGCCAGTAACAGACATGTGAGCTGCCTATCCAAAATTAGTCTGCTGGCCTTCCTGGGCTCCCTCTGCAGCCACTGCACCAACAGAAAGAGAAACTCAGCTGTGGCAGGACTCGGAGCACCTCATCTATGTAAGTTACAACCATCACGGAGAACAAAATCCTATGCCAAGCAAACACTGCGAAAAATTCTGTAGTTATCAGAAAAATCTCAATGCTTATTTTAGGTCCAGAAAAACTTTTAAGATGACAAAAATGGAAATTCTGGGGTGAAGCTGCCAAAATGCAACTCAGTTGATTGTTGTTGTTGTTGTTAGTAGTAGTAGTAATAATAATAATATTATCATCTTCAAGAAAGAAAATAATAATAATAATAATAATAATAATATAATCTTCAAGAAAGAATATACAGTTTTTGCTACCAGGCTATTACAAACCCTAACCTTGGAACAGGGCTCCAACAGGGACCTTGGAACAGAGGGTGCAGAAAGTGGAAGCTGGTATTGTAACCTGGCAGGCAGGACTCCCACAAACTCAGTTAGCCAAAACAAGCCGATTCTCCTAGCTACAGGTAAAACACCACTCTGAGTAACTTAAAAAAACCTGAAAAATATATAAATAATAAAAATAAAAGTATTTCAGTAGACAGATACTGGCTTTTTTTCTTCAGTATTTGATGGAACATGTTTCAGTACATCACTAACCAGTGTTCCTGACAGATGTGCGAAGTTATACTACCTGACCACGTCACAAATTAGCCTTCCCAGGAGGAGCTGTACAAAAAAAGTAAAACAAAAGAAAGCAGAAATTCCTTGACATCTGTAGGATGTCAAGGAAATGAATAAATTTGTTTCAAATAGGAGAGAATTAAGAAAATCTTACTTCTAAAATTTTCTGTATTACATTAGGACTTTATCATTTAGCTGTTCTCAACATGCTTCCCTTTTTCATATCCAGGGACACACTAAACAACCAATTCACTTCAGAACTTCCAGACAGAGTGTCGCAAGGACTGCTACAACTTTTCCATTTAATCATTAATACTAAAACATTAAATAGCTTATATAAAACACATGGCACAGCAGTTTATCAAAGCAGGCATGCTCATGTGATTTCCTATTAAGAAGAATATGTCGAGCCTATCTATTACAGAACAGAATAGATATATTACATGCATTTGGCTTTTAAGAAGGAAATATTGGTATTTAATCAGAAGTATATCAGAAATATCTGACAAGATCTCTACCTAATTCTCATGGTTTAACCCCAACCAGCAACTAAGCACCATACAGCCGCTCGCTCACTCCCCCCTGGTGGGATGGGGAGAGAATCGAAAGAGTAAAAGTAAAAGCTAGTATGTCCCCATACTAGCTACCGTGAAGGAAATTAACTCTATCCCAGCCAAAACCAGCACACTAATGTAAACCAGACTGACTTGGGCCAAGAGATCTGGTTCAGCACAGCAGCAATTTTTACACTCTAATCAGTGCAAAAAAAAAAAATCAATCTTTTGATTGATTAATCAGGAATTCCCAGGAATTTTATACCTGGGAAAACCACTGGAATACTTGTTTTTGAAGAAACACAGATCACTTTTTTCATGTGTTACTTTTTTTGAACATAGTTTCCTAATGAAAGTCATGTCTACATGATTACAGCAGCTGAACATTCCTCCCTGTCCACTTATTTATCTATGAATTCAACCCCCTGAAAAAAACAAAAACAAAACAAACAAACAAAAACAAACAAACAAAAAAAAAAAAGAGGAAAGGGGCGGGGGGAAGATCCCGACCACTTTTACTTGTATCTTAAACTGGCACTGTACCACGTGCAGAGCTCTCCTACTGATACATCAGGGGTCTTTTGCACATTTGGTATTTCTGGTAAGGTTAGTTTCTTTGTGTAATAATTTCAGCTGCGATTTTTAAAGTTAGTGTCCTTCTCTGCTTTAGCAAAGAGTTTCGAAACAAATGCCCAAACACATTTGAGAGATTGCAAACCAAATGCAAATAAAAGAGCCCAAAGTTTTGCTGTTTTATTTTTAGGGGTTCTTCTTCCCAATGCCTCAGTATGTCTATTGTTCTCCAAATGCCAGGTAGCAAAATTGCTAGTTTATGTGGGGTAAACCAAACAGTAGGTGCTTACCTGTAGGAGTACTACTGCGAAACGAAGAGGAGGGAGTGATTGGAGGGGTGACTGGAGGAGTAAGGCTTCCACTGCTGTGGCGAGGTGGAGTAGATACATTCCCACGGGACACTGTGCTTGACAAAGTCAAAGAGAGTTTTGGCTGAATCTTTTTCTTCAAAGACTCCTGCTCACGTCGAGCTGCATCAGTCATAAATCTAGAATGAGGACAATCATGAGGATGAGAGGCTTGAAACACTGTCCGCAAACGAGATTTAGGTAAAGATAAAGTAAGTATTTTTCGCCCTCAGTGACCAAACGGAGCTTCAAACTCAGCCATAACAAGTTCTTCTGCAACACACAGATTTCAAGAATACAACCTCCTCCATCAACAGCTTTATTCCAGTGTTCAAGATCTGGGCCATTTGCTTCTGATTTCGATAGAACTTACATTAGACATTTGCATCATGTGCAAACACAAGTTTTTAAACTCCAACCAGAGATCAGCATTGCAAACAATATTATATTAACTGTACTCAATCCTTTAAAAAAACTACACTCAATCCTTCTGTGAAAAAGTAGCTGAGTAGCTATAATGGAGAAAAATGTTAGGGGCAAATGTATTGAATCTGAAGGTCAAAGGGATAGTATGAATTAGATTCTGCAGATACATCATTTCCAACTTAGGATAATCACATCCTTTTTCTAAAGGTTTTAGACAATGTTGCCTGACATAAAAGATGTCCAATTAAATTGCAATTCCTCAAACCAGAGTTCCCAATTCCTGAAAACTAAATGAGGTCTCTGCAGAGCTTTGGTACATGCTGCTGAAGGCCTAATGCAAAGTTCATCTCTGTGGGATTCTCAGAGGGAATTCCACCAGCACGACACAACGTGAGCACTGGTAGTGCAGTAATTCCAGCAGTGCAACTTTTTGCATGGGATCTCTCACCTGGAATAAAAATAGCTTTTTTCACTTTTATTCTGATTCCTTCCAAAAAAAGAACAATTGAAGTGAAAAAGACCATTTTTATTCCAAGTGCCTATACAGAGTTACACCAGAACACCTGATACTGCATTATGCTGACATTCAAAGCATCACTGCTGGCACCTATGTTAACCCTCACTTGAAAGGACTGGGGTTCCCCCACAACGGGATCTCTGCAACTCAGACTTCATGCACTTAGCATTCAAGCAATATTTTAATCCTTTGTCTTTCCCCTCCACTGCATAAGGAGCCATCTTGAAGGATTCCTAAGAAGACAGGCTAAATCAAATCACCTTGTACATACAGTCCTCCGTCCTTCATGCTAAAATACAAACTACGCCTTGTTAGTGAACAAAACAATACGCACTAGCATGTGATATGGAATAAGATGTTAAGTTACACCCAGACATTTGTCTGACCAGGTCAGACAGAGTAAACCAAGTTTTAGCCAAGACACAAGCTTTATATAATGAGCTCTTGCAACCTTGGCAAACCATGAAGGGTGCATTCGGAGAGGTGAGAACGCAGTGCAGCCAGTACGCTGCACTCACCTTGGAGCCAGCTGTCACCCAGAAACTCACATTTGCAATCCAGTAAGGAAACAGAGTAACGAAAATTACCAGCAATTATTTGTATTGGACTAAGCAAGGGTGACCTGGCTTTCTTTCAATAGTCACACTCTCCTCAGAGGAGCCTAGGAAAGAGAATGAGGCAGACTCAGGGATAGAAGCGGCCACAGAGAACAAATCTGTGGAGGAAATAATGAAGATGCTGAGTTGTTGTATTGGGTGTAGGTGGCAAGGTTTTGGTAGCGGAGGGGGCTGCAGGGCAAGAAGATGTCAGGGTCTGCCTCATGCCAGCCACAGCTGGTTTCAGCCAGCTCTGCAATGGACCTACCACATGACACAGCTGAGCCTACCAGAGAAGCTGGTGGCACCTCAGTGAAAACGTATTTAAGGAGGGGTAGAAAATCCTGGAGGGAGAGATCAGGAGGGAAAAGAGGAGGAAACAACAGAGGGAATGAGAGAACAAGGTCAGAGGAGTAGGAGGTACTGCATGGTGCAGAGCAGGTATACCCCCAGAGGCACTGCAGCCTGTGGGTGACCAACATCAGAGCAGAGGACAAGAGTGACAAACAAGGGGCAGCAAAGAGACACCGCTACAATCTGACCCCAACCCCTGCACCACTTGTTGCCTCACCAAAGGGACTGAGTGTGGCCTGCAGCGGTAGCAGGGGAGGAGAGATGTCTGGAGTGAAGTGAGCCTGGGAAAGGGGGAGGAAAGGTAGGGTTTTTTCCCCCTAAGTGTTTTAGGGTTTTTCTTTTGCTTCTCAATAACTAATACCCAAATCAGGAATTAAATATTTATGTTAGTTGGCAATAAATTAAGTTAAATTCCCCAGGTCGAGTCTGTTTTGCCCGTGACAGTACTTCGCAAGTGATTCCCTTTATTTCAGCCCATGAGTTTTCTCGCTCCTGCTCCTCCTATTTTCTCCCCCATCCTGCTGGGGTCAGGGGTGTGGGGGTGAGTGAGCAAGCAGCTAGGTGGGTACCTGGCTGCTAGCTGGGGCCAACCCATCGCTCTACCAAATTTCTTGTCATGCGACAACTGTATTTGCTATGTGACTAAACTGCCTGTCGTGTGACTTGATGTTCCATATCATATGAGAAGACATGGAAGCAACCCCTGACGTACATCCAGAATCCAACAGAGGACTGGGAGATCCACCTTTAGCTCCTGAGGAAGAGCAGCAGACCCTGAGGAGAGGGAGGCAGAGGAAATAGTGCCATACCAGTCATCTGGTTCACAGTTTATATCCTGCCGTCATATGAAGGATCAGGCCACAGGCTGGCTGGACAAACTGATTCTGCAGACCATAGTACCACAACAATTGCACTGAACATGACCATCAGGTCAAACTGGGTCTCACAGCAATACATAGTATCTGCTACAGCATCTGCAACGTGGTGCTGTAGGATAGTGCAGTTTCCTCTCTGGGCCTCAGCCAACAATTTCAATTAATATGAACCACTATATTCGTTTAGGCTCCTTAGAAACCCAACATTTTGTGACTGCTCGCAACACATAGGCTGTTTGGGTGGGAGCTGGGTAGATTCTACTGGCTGTGAGTGCAGACCTGACTGCACTTATGGAGAGACATCTGAGAAAAAATAGCTCTTGTGGAACAGTAAGGGGTGCATAGGGAAGGGGAAGGGAGAAAGAAAAAAATGGGGTTTTAGGTATCTGTGCGAAATATGAAAGAAAAATTTGGCCCAGATATCAAAAAACCTAGCTCTTTTTCCAAAGACATTTGTGTACTTTACACAGCCTCAGAACACTGTGGCATAAAATTCTAAGTACCATTAGAGCAATAAAGATGTATCCTGTCCATCCATACCATGAAGGCATTAATAAGTGGATCTTTGCCATGATACATAACATCAACGCACAATCCGCAGACATTAATAAACAGGTATATGACATGACAGCTTATCTTCTTTGAACAGAGACAATACATCATGTCAAACCCAGATATGGATTTTTATGAAGTTAATATTTAAAAAGCAGATATCCATAGTAACAGTTCAGTTTTAAATTTCTCTTCTCTATACAAGGGTGCAGATATTATTGACAAACCAGTCCCCAAATAGAAGTCTAAATTTCATTCAAGAAAAAAGGAAGTAAAAGGGTCTTTGCCTTTGCCCATAAAATGGGCATTCAGTACACATTTGCTTTCCTCTAACTAGGAAATGTACAAATTTTTGGAATTTGTACTATGATGTATGCTTGCTTCTGGATGGGAAGCCTTATTCCTTAAGAAAATGTTATGGCAACATTATAAATCCTTGAAAACTTGGAAGATAACCTCAAGTGTGAGATATTAAAAGCAGCAGCATGAACGCTGCTATTTAATAAACTCAGCCACAAATAACAATGTTGAAATAATACTGAGGTATAAGCAGTCTGGTTGAAGTCCATAAAAATCAGGAAAGTTATAGCTGAAACTTCTCCCTGTCCTGTTAACTCACTCCCATTTGGGCTAAGCATGTTGGGTATATTCCAAAACGTCATTTGTTGTCTACACTGTGAAGCTGAGAGAAATGGAAGGCAGAGTCTGTTGAGAAGTTCAGTTCCTGATATCTCAAGTATGCAATTAACCTTTTCAGATCCAAATAGTCTCATAAATGTTTGCTGAAGCACTGGCAGTGCTTTTAATTGAAATGCAGTATTATACTTGCGCCTAACTATGGTGTTCTTCAAAGCTTACAATATAAGCGTTTTAATGATGGGTATAGAATGACATTTCCAACTAAGTCTTAAGTTTCATGTTGAAAGTACATTATGGTTGCAACATCAAGTGCTCAGAAATGAAACATGCTGGAATTAAGGTTGAAAACTGGTCTCTAAATTACACGATTGCATACAATTTTCCCTGCCTCATTTAAATGTACAAGATGTGTGGGAAACAGAAAATGAACTGTAACTAACAAAGGCTGCTGTAAGACCACTTAGGTTAAATCCCATCTCCTTGCTTAGTAGTCTCTCTCACCATCTTCAGATCCATCTCCTTGCTCAGCAAATCTACCTCCACTATTTTCAACTCTTATTCTTAACTCCATAACCCTGCCCCTCTAGTTCCACCACTACGCAGATTTTAGTCCTTTTCCCTGTTGCATAGGATTGTGTTTATACCTCATAAGCCTCTCTCTCCAAATCCAATACACCATGTAGATGCAGTGGAACAAGGAGAATCATTCAGTTCTCAGCCATTCATTGACCCTGTTTTGACAAGCATGGGGTTTGTGTGCTTTCTTGCAGATGTTCATAACGTCAGGGAGGAACCCATTCCTTAGAAAGAAATCTCTTCTAGCCCTATTTTTTCTTTCCTCACCCCTTCACCTTCCTAGTAATTCACCTCCCTGCTCTAAAACATGTAGGTGCAATGATTTCTGAATCAAGTGCTTGCAGCAACTTTAATAAATATCAGCAAAATATAGTACTTCCCCCTCCTCTCATTCCCTGGAATGGTTCAAGTATTTTTATTGAAACTTTCCCAAGAAATTCAGCCTGAAGTAGACACCCAGCATGGAAAATTTCAGCCCCAACAGCTGAATGTTGGCAACATAATAAGCAACTGAAACAGTCTTATAATGGAAAGTGTTGCACAACCTTCCATACAGGTGGCAATATAATACAAACAGCGTTAGCTGTTGTTACCAACATAAAAAG